CATCAAATAAAATAATTATTATCCTAGTTAGTTTTGGACTATACTTTAATTTTAAAAAAACAAAAAAATTCCTATGTAGCATAAAAAATTATTTTCTACTTAAATGTTCTTCTATAGCATCAGCTACAGCATGTTCACCAGTACCTTTAACAGCATCAATTAGTTTGCTGTATGTTGCTCTACCAGTTTTCAACCACACTGCAATACATTTATACAGACAATTATAGCAATCACTGTCTTCATTTTTAATGTCTTGTAACTGATTATATTTTATATTTAATTTTACTCCAATTTTATGCCACTTGTGGTTTGGAAAGTCCTTGTCATCTAATATTCCCATTATATCATTCCAGTCATCAATGGTAAGAACTTTTGTACCTATAAACATAATATATTAAAGCAGTACAGTATACTTTTTACTCACAATTATCACTTTTATCTTGCTGACTTCTAAACCATGAACAATATTCTTCATTTGTTTGGAAATCCTGGTTGGTTTCCTCACAAATAATGCCATCTTCCATTTTTGTAACTTTATGATCTCTTCCATCACCACATTGTGGCAGACAATAAAATGCCAGAATTGGTAACTCATCATCAATATTTTTCTTTTTCATTACATCTTTAATGGATTTCTCTACAGCATCTTTAACTCTGACTCTATCAGCAGTTTTTTCACAATGTATTTCAATGCAATCAAGCTGTTCTACTAAAGTTAAGTTTATAATTTGACACGCTTCTATTGTAGTCTCTACTTCCATTGTTTTCTGTAAAATGAAAAAATTGGAATAATTTCCATGTCTAGAAGTAATTATTCTCCAAGAGTCTGCAGACAGAAGATGCACTATAACAGCACAAAAGAGGCCCATAGGAACAGCTCTGTCTTTAAAGTAGAAAAGTAAAGGTGTTGTTTCAAGAGTAGCTACCTCAGTGTCAGATATATCAATGAGAGGAAGAAGTGCTGGCATTAAAAATTCTGTTTCTGAAAGCTGTGCAGCAATGTCAAGATGTTGAAATAGGCCCAAAAGCATATTTGACACAAAGTCATCATCATTATTAAATATTGATGAAATCTTTTTAAAAGAATTGGTTGACTTGAAATATTCAATTGAAATGCATCCTACTGTTGCTAGTTGTCTATCAACTCTATCTAATCCTTTCATTTTTCGATAATTAATTACATCACTCATTAAATCTTTGATAATGCTAATAAGACCATCCAATTTCACAAATACTATGTCTTTTGTTGGTGAATCATCATAATAGAATAACATTTTCAGTATATGGAAAAACTTTAGGGCATTGTGAACTTCTTGAGGTTTCATTTGTAGCATTTCACCAAATTCTTCACATGAAGACAAATCCAATATCCCACTGGTTTCCTTTGATTGCTTACGAAGAATAACACCAAAATAATGCCATCGTAGAGGTACCTTAATTTCATATGACTGGTCTTTCAAACACTTTGCGATTACTTCTACAGCTTCATCATTGAATTTACCAGTTTTAGCTTTACGACCATCGATTACATGAATTGGATTTTTAGGTGGAGGAGGTGAAGTATAAACTATTTGAATAGATTCGCTTACAGAATTTAAAATCATTCTTAATCCATCTCTTTTTTCTTCCAAAGATTCAACTTCAGACTCTTCTTGTTTTTTATCATATTTATCAAGGTGTGTGCCAACTGTTAATACATTAAGCAGTTTTCCACCTTTACGTTCAATCCAAGGAAAGTCATCAATTATTGAAGTTGCCTTTTGTGCATTAGAAGCTACAGCTGAAAGAATTTGTTTTAGCATATCTTCAACTTTGAGAGAATAATCATTGCCTGAATCAATTGTTTTACCAGGACATTCCATCTTTGTACACGATTTATCAGAGAGATTTTTAGATAAATTGACCACTAGAATAAGAACAGAAGTGTGAGGCATAAAAGCTAGTAATAGCTTTTGAAACTGAAGCTGACCTCCAGAATCAATGAAATACAGCCACTCTCTGTGAGAACCAAATTTATCAATTTTGCACCATTTTTTGCAATACTCAAGTGGATTAAAGCTCTGAGATAATCTACTTGTAACTTTTTGCTTGTGAGTTGAAACATTATCAAATATTGATGAGGGTTGTTGGTCAGCAATATCATTGTGTACTACAACACCATCAAGTATTGCATTACTCGATTCTAATTCACTTTCTTGATAATCATTAGTTTCATTTGTTTCCATACTTTGCTGTGATTCTTCAACTGAATCATCTACATTTGCATAAAATGGCAAAACATGTTCTTCATTTTTAGACAGTTCCTGAGATATTGATCTACTTGATTTAGCATTGATTTTATTTCCTCTATCCAATGCATGCTTTTGTAATTCAGCAACAACTTTATCATCCATTTCATCGTCAGTTACTGGTGTCCAATGCTTACCTTTAGTACTATTACTACCATAACAATCAATAAAGAAATTTCCAAAAGCAACAAACGGTGCTTCAATAACAGGGGTGCTTATACTATTATATGGTAAAGATAAAATTAGTGATTTTAGGCAGGTTTTACCAACTCGAGCTTCTCCCTGTACAATAGCTGTACTTACATTATAATTAAGAAAATCTTCCTTGAGAGCATTTTTAAAACTTTCCTCAAAATCTATAGCTGAAAAATTGTCACAGAAAACAGCAGTAGAATTAATAACTATTAAAAGTTGTGTCAATGGTTGTATTTTTCTGTGTCTATCAATCAAAGTTTTTTTTTGGTCATTAAAAAAATCCATCAGCAGCCCGAGAGGAGTGTATCCAGTATAAATCTGAATATATTCAAGTGATGGATGGATGAAGATAGTTTCATATAAATGTTGCACTAGTTCTATCCAGTTAGGTTGAGATGATTCTCTATTAATATCTATACACTCTATCCTCAGTAGTCTGATGGTTGTATGTGACTGTAACATGTTAGTAACAGCAGGTAGTACCTGTTCATAAAACAATGGTGTCATTATTTCTTCCTTCTCTTCCTCACTACAGTTACTGTA